AACATTTTCTAAAAAAAAATAAAAAAACACTTATGTCATATACAGAAACAGACACGTCATAGACTGATGCCATTTATCTGTCGGAAAATCGTCTGATTCTTTCTAACATGTTTTTTTTAAATTTTCGCAAAACTGAACCTATTAAGGATACATTTATAAAAATTTGTTGCTCCAGAAGGGAAGAAATTGTACTCATCAGAAACAATATACAAAGTTCGGTATAACGGAAATATGCCATCAGTCCCCAATGAGGGAAAATATCCAAAAATCGACCAGGTCAAACTTAACTGCTGTTTAACTTTTTACAATAAACTATGTATGAGTCATAGATGTATGTGCTATGTCTCAAAACGATTTTCTTGTCAGAAAACCCTATTCCAAATTTAGAAAGGAAAATTGGATAGTACACATATCAATGTTTGTATATTCACTACCCTCACATATTTTCTTATTTATTTATACATATGGTATTTTAAAATACATACATCATTGAAATTGTTATTTCTATGGCAATTCGTTAGTCGTGGGCAACCCACCACCCCGCCTCCCACACACAATAAATAGAAATGTAATAAAACGTATTTTATTAAAGTTCTCATTTTATGAACATGTACTACTTACTACAATTTACAATGAACAATAATTTTCCATAGCACATCCATATCCAATATTTGGCCATAACAAATTTCATATTAAGTATAAGTTCTAATTAAAATTTCAACATTTGATTTGAATTGTCCATACTCAATCGATTCCAATGGAAAATCATACCACTGTGCTGTCAAGATTAATTACAACGCCTATAAATCATCTGCGTACAGCAATAATGGAATTCAATCAATGGAAAATTTTACCACTCTCATTGAGAATTGAATTAAAACCATACAATAATTTGGCCACAATTCAAATATTTATTTGCCCAAAACATCAAAGGCCGGCTGGGTGCTCCACTATCACAACCACCACCAGACCAACAACTACAAAAAAAGAAGGGAATGACTACACCACCTTGAACTATGGAAATCAAAATTGTATTTCCACAGCTCAAGTAAATTAAAAATCGTTCATGGACATGTAAATGTAATTATTACATGTTTACAAAAAAAACACCAAAACACATATTATTGAAAATATATTCAAATATTGAAAATAGCAGCAATTAATCAAAATTCACAACAACACAAATTGGCATGACAAGTTATTGCAAGAATTCTGCCCCATAGGAAAACCACTTGCATTATTTCAAACATCACCATCCGAACTCTGCTAATGAGAGGTCACACCTACCCACATTTGTCTTCGGCAGGTGAAGAAGATTTCCAAATTCATTCATAGAACCAAATGCCACAGCATCAAAACATGAAAACATAAACAATCCCACATTTTCATTCGCTCTCCGCCAACAGGCAGGCTGGCAGAGTGTGTGAGAAAATGAGAGGCATAATGTCAAATGTTAAGATGCGAAGCAACACAACAACAAAACAACAGACACTATTTCTTGGCCTGGCACCCACACACGTGCCCCACAGAATGTTATTGGCACGTGTTGGGTTTATTTTGATGTTACTCTGAGCAGAAAATCAGATGAGAGCCAAACACCAGCCTCCCATAACAGAAACACTCTGATGCTCTTCGTAACAGTGAAACAAGATGTGCACATTGGGGGGAATGTGAAAAATGAGTTTTAATCACAAAAAAAAATGTTTTTAAACCTCGCTTAACAGGGAAATGTAATTATTTATAGCTTAAAAGAGCCAATAATTACACTAGGACACAGAGATATAAAATTTCAATCGAAACTTGACCATCAGAGCAAAAAGCCTCAAAAGTTTTAATTTTTCAATCTAAACTTGGTTTGGGTCATTGTGCATGCAACATCTTGCTAACCAAATACTCGCCGTAATCAGTTGAAAATATCTCTAAATTTGTCAAAAAAAAATACAAAACCCTTCCCAATTATAGGAGGTATATACCAAAACGTGAACCATTCTATATGCCTCTATAATATTACATCAACCCTTGAGAAAGACCCAGTTTTTTTAGTTAGTTAGTAGTTGTCAGAGTCTACTCAAGCACCAACAAACCCCTTAGCAGTTGTTATCCCTTAGCCGGTTATATATCATTTATTACGACCTAAAAGTACCTGATCTAGAACACAGTTTTAGATTCTAGGTCTCTTTGGCCAAAATCCGTTTCAGGACATTTACAGTCGATCAAGGGGTATCCGCCCGTCTGTCTGGCTGATGCGCACGATAACTCCAGAAGGGAATATCCGATTTGGCACAAATTTATTTCATCGTAATATTCATATCAAACTTAGACAGAGTTCGGAGATTAGTCCACACCTTCGGGTATCTCCTCCATAGAATATCAAAAATATTCAAAGAAAATAATTAGCCTCATATAACAAGAAAGGATCATCCAATTATGTTCAAACTTTGCAAATCCCAATCCTCTCAGTGCTAGGTCAGGTCCGAAAATGGGCAATATCGGCCCACTCTATCAAGTATCTCCCCACAATATAATAGATATCGGTCCATCCTTTCTGGTATCTTCATCAAAAAAGCCTGAAATTTTTTTTAATAACTTTTGGAATAGGATTGGAAATAAATACTCAATTTCTTTAAATTTTATAAATCCCAAAATTTCGAAGTGGAATGCTTCGGTCCACTATAACTGATACTTTATGCAAATTGAACATTTTCCAAAAATTGTCCGATATCTTATTGAAGCGGAAGGATATAAGAACGACATAGACTAAATCTAGCACGTTGTATTATTTATGTCAGACTTAGGACAGATACGAAATTTACAATATTTACCCGACTGTTGGATCATCGGTTTGGTGATTTTTGGCTTCTTTAAGATAAGTAAACAGAGGGGAGAAACAAACGAAATCGAACGGATCTGACAGAAATCTTTGGTATAGCATATCTTTTAATCGGGTTCTAAATTAAAAATTAGAAATTCGGCTCTAATCACAGGTTGCATCCAAATTAGGTATGGCAGGCCAATTAAAGGGATGCAGCATATTGTGTGGGCCTGTACCGCTTGCAGGTCAGACTTTCCGCAAATCTTTATCAATTCTCGTCCAATATGAATTGAGACGGCAGAACTATCCTCAACGTAGTTGTGCCAAAACTAACCATATGATGGGGCAATAGATGGGGTGGACTCTGAGGACGGTATTCATACTATAGTTTTTAATGGCACCTGTAACAACATCAATATGAATGCTACTTATACATGTCTGATGTACTTCTCGATCTAGAGGCTCTATCTTATTTGCACTTCCCCTCTACATCGTGTAGTTCTTCCTGACACTCCGGCATGGGATGTTTTATTCACCATATGGATGACTCCAATGTTTACACTCAATCAGGTTCTGCAACGGAAACAAAATCAATGGCAAATGATATCGGAAACATTCTCGGTCCGGCTAATTTATATGGACCACTGGTGTCTTGACAAGTCCGAATTCTTCTAAATTGCGTAGCATTGGTATATACAGACCAGACATGGAGGTCCTACGCCTTCGCATGTCGATGATAGTCCTGTACCTGTTGCAGTTTTCAAGACAGCATTCTGACCGGTCTTGATATTCTCCTATTGGCTAGCAGTAGTATCTTAGACCACACTGCATGTCAAACCCATACCAACCTATGGCTTTATAAGAGATCCACAAGGTGGCTTGCGCGGGCGACTTAAACATTTTGTCGAATGTGATTTGTGGGATCTTGGGTTGAAATAAAATGGCCCTCGGCATGCAAAACCAGCTGTTATGTCAACTCCACAGACAATGTTCGGTATTAACTGTTATTAACTGTGCACGTAAAGTGTAATACCAGGATGGATGTTGTTAAAAAAAACAGTTCAGATTCAAGTACCTCCTACAAGTTTAGTGGAAATCGATACAGAGTAGAATAAACCTCCCAAATATTAGTTCCATTCGACTTCAAAGTATAAGTGCCATAATACGCATTCAAAATATAGGTCATAGTTCGTATTATCTGACTCACAATAATCAAATAAAATTTATTTTTAAGGGTAGCCCTACTAAATGTACATAGTGGTGTGGGGTATCTTACAATCGTCCCACATGATTTTCGACCTCTAACCCCGGGAAAGCTCCGTGTCGATTGTAATAGTCACCTGTAGAGCGCCTCCTATATAAGGAAAACAATTAGTATTTGGGTCACTTCATCCCCTAAACACTTCGTGATCATCTGACTTCGGACAAAATATGGTGAATATCGATATAAGCAGAAATTTCCTTAGAAGACATTTTTGGGGCGCCCAACAGAGAAAAAAATTAATTTTTCAAATTTTTCAGAGAATATATAAAAACTGAACCGTGTCCCCCCTATCGGAATGTGATGATCGATTTCATCAAACTTATAATACCTTCTCCACAGGATGTATATTTTTAAACATGTATGTATTTTTCTAATATATTTTTTAATTTTTAAAAAACATTCTGTTGTTCAAACCTGCATTTAATAAGTCGTCGCTATAAATTTTCTAAACTACTACAAATGTATTTTTTATTGCATTAAATAAAAAAATGTATTTACTTTTATAAAATACATTTTGCAAAAAATTAACAACAATTTCCCCGCTGTTATACAACATCTTGCTATGTTACAATTTGCATTTATAGCAATTATTCGTAGAATAAAATATCCCAAAACAAACATCTTTTTCCCAGTATTTTTCATGTGCCAGCATTCTCACATTCTGTTAGTTAACATTGGTCAAAAGAGAGAGAGAGAGAGAGAGACAAGAGTACGAGAACGGTGGCATAGTTGGTCCAATGTGGAAAATCTGTTGCCAACTAACATTGGCCAATGATGCTGTGCTGATGTTGATGCTGCCGCTGCTGTAACAGCTGTTTGGCTACTGCTGCCGCTGCCGTTTGGCTGCTAACTTGGATGCGCCTCCGCCACAGGCATCGTTGGTAGGAATGCGATGTGGGAAAATTCACAAATTCAGTTTGTTGTGATAACTCGGCGCGTATAGAACGTTCACCGAAGACATGGAGCTAAATGGGCTCTCCGACAGAAAGTGAGAGTAAACAGTAAAAAATCAAATCAAAATAAATGAAAAGAAAAACAAATTAAAAAATGTAATCAAAACAATAATTATTGCTAACATAATTTGTATGCCAAAAAAAAAAAAAAAAAAACAATTATAACAACAATTATTAATTTTTTGTGGATGCCAACAAAAGTGAATTTAAATATTAAAAAAAAATTACATTTCAGCAATGTGTGTAAGAGTTGCATTAAAAAATATTCATTTCATTAATTTTTATGATGTGCATAAATAAACACAGGGCGAGAGAGAGGCAAAAAAAAAGAAACCGCCAAATGAAAACATGGCTTTTTCAGCAAATAGTGAATTTTATAAATTTGCATAATTAATGTTGTGTTATTAATTTTGTTGATGGTTCAAGTCGCCCCTCGCCGTTTCAAAACCGCAGCATTTGCTGTAATGCTTACCACTTAAAATGAATCGCTTTAGTTGTGTGAGTGCCTGTGTGTGTTCGGAACAACACAAACAAAACCAAAATACTTAATGTCCTTTTCAAAATAAATGAGCTAAAAAACGAGTTTATACATTTATATATTATACATCAGCAGATATCAGTTAAATGAAACCCTTTTAATTATTGTCCATTCGAGTGCCTGAGTGTGAGTGACTGTGTGCTTTCGCAAAATACTAAAGTCAATTTTAAACAATTTTGCAATATTAAATAACAAACAATCATATCGTACAGTACTTATGTTTGTATGAGATGTTCGAGAGTACGTATGTATGTATGTAGGTATGTAATTAAAATCTACAATAAGCCAGTAAGTGTTTTACATGGTCTGATAACTTTGTCCTCATACGTCAGTGCATGTTTGTTCGGTTCGTTAATCCGAACTTTGTTCAAACACAACAACAGCAACATCAAAAACAATGTTTTAAGCATGGCATAATCCTACAACATACGATTCTTTACAAAGAGAGAGAGAATAATACTTTTTTAAGTAATTTTAGATTAAAAGAAATTCTCGTTGATGGAACGAAAGGAAGTTGCTGTGAAAAAAAAAAGATTTTAAAGTTATCTTTAGAAGACAATGCGTTCAATTTCAGATAATTTCAAGGAAACTTGAAAAACAGACATTTTCATAAGGGGTATTTTAAGAATTCTAACTAGACACTTTACTGTAAAATTCCAGAAATTAGCTATACAGGATGAGATATAAAAACTGCGACAAAGTCAAACGCCATAATTTTCCTTTTTTCCAATGTTATTGAATAAAAGAAAGAAATGTCGGAAATAGCATCAAATTTTAGAATAAGTTTAGATTTGTTCGAATTGGTCACATTTGACACGAATTATGGCCTTCAAACGAAACACTTGCTTGAGGTGATCGACACTTTGGTAATTTTAAGTGCCAACCTTGCTTTATAAAATATTCCAGACACAATAGACCAACAGATTGATATCCGGAGATTTTGGTGGGCATTGTGCGCTGAAAATGAAGCGAGGAGCCTAATTTTGTAACCATTCTTGGGTGGCGCGTGCTGGATGAGATAGTGCTGAGTCCTGTTGAAATGTCCAAGGTCTGCAGCCAAAGTGTTTGCGTTCCCAAGGCTTTAATACACCCACCAGAATATTTTCGCGATAATATTCGGCATTTTAATACGAGTGGAGAGCGACCATCGCCTGTTATGGTGGCCCACACCATCACCATTGCCAGCGCTTGAATTCTGGTGGCCAACCAAAGGTCCACATTTTCAACTGACCTCTTTGACAAGTAAACACGATAATTTTGTTTGTTTACAAACTGCCGGACAACGAATGTTTTCTCATCGGAGAAAACCAAATTTGGCAGTTCACCACTTTCGGTCAAGCGGAGCAACTCTTTAGCCATTTTCTGTAAAGCGAAGCAACTCTTCAGCTCTTTTGAGACTATTTTCTTACAGTTGCGGTGAAAGTTCTTGGACTTTTTTGGAATTTCAGTGGCTTTAACCTGAGCTCATTTTTCAATATTTGTCGAATGAAATATTGCGATGTATTCCACTCCGGAGCTATTTTTCGGCCACTGCGACGCGGGTTTCGATTAAGTCGCTTCTTTACTTTACATGAACTCACGCTGTGCGATCATCAACAACGTCATCTTTTTGCTAATTTGGTCCTTGAAATACATGAAAATATTTCGGAATTGTATCGAAAAATAATTTTGACTATTGAGATCCATTTTCACCTCGGTAACTACTTTAAGAATGAAAAATGTCGCATCGGAGGCTCGGAAAAACCAATCTATCTTCAACTTGTGACTGTTTGGTGGGGTTTATGGCCCAGAGAGGTCATTGCATTTTACTTTTTTCGAAATTGATTTTGGTGATTTTGGTTAGGGTGAATTACACCATCAGGAGATGATTTTACTTTTAACAAGACGGCACTACATGGCACACATGCATTGAAACCCTTGCTCTCTTACAAACTAAAAATTCCGGGCCGTACTATCGCTCAAAGTAAACGAGATTGGTCACAAAGATCTTGTGATTTAACCCCTAATGACTTCTTCCTTTGGAACCACGTGAAAGATAAGGATACGCCAAAAATCCAGTATGGATTAAAAACCTAAATTATAAAATCCGTGAGGCTATCGAGTTCATAGTGTAACCATTCTGTGAATTTTTGCGCACACCTTGGTGAAAAGGAAAGGGTGCTATAAGGGAACCCGTGGTGGCTATTTGAGACCCTTTATGTGCCCTATAACGATATTTGACATCTATTTTTCATATTGATATATATTTTGGAATAATTCCATCCGATTTCATATTTATCAAATACAAATTTCTTAAATATATAGAGTTGTGAAGAGTACCTTTATAGTCGGCCAATCCGACTTTAAGTTATATAAGCTATCAAATATAAAGTCTTGAAATGTTGTCACTTTAGGTTATTGACACAAATCTTATTAAAAAAAGTTCATCTCCCAATAAGCCTCTTAGTCTAGGTCACAGAAACAGCTTTTAAGACTCTAGATGCGACTTATACTACTCCTTCCCTTACTCTCGTTTTCTTCAAGTTCTTAGTTACGTACGAAGAAACCCGATTTCGAGAAATTTCGGTGTCTAACAAACAAATTTTGGAGAATAGATTTGTTTAACATCTTGCAAAAGGAATTGTTTAAAAATTGAACTAAACTCATTATATAACGGAGATCATTATGATTGTCACAAAAGAGAAAAAAACAACAAATAAAACTACAAATTAATGATCTTCGCCTTGGTATGGTTTTTTGCTAATTTCTTGCGAACATATCTTGCTTGCATTTTCTCACGGAAATCATTAAAATCCCAATGTGTAAGGAACATTTCCGGTCGACAGTAAATTTCTCGCGTAGAAATGTTTTACCCAGCGAAAAAAGTAAAATGTATAGTCCATATGGTCCAAAGTCTTTCCAAATATCTATTTTTCCAATTAGAATTTACTGTACTAAATTAAATATAAGTTTAAACAAATAAATCTCTAATTTAATTAAGAGCAACTTCCGCAATGATAATTACCAACAACCCCCACCCCAATTTTTTCTAATCAATTTCAGAAAGTTCTCCTTAAGAAAAACTGCAACAAAAAGATTTAAAAAAAAAGTGAAATCAAACACAAACCAGATGCTTAGCAACCCAAAAACATAACCCCAAAAGAGATAATCAAATAAAATTAGATCAAAAAAATTAAATACAATCAACTTGCGAATGACGAAATCAAGTAAAGCCAAAAGAAATCAAATAATTTTATGAACACAAACACACACACAATCAAAAATAAAAAATATATATTTAAAATTGTTGCAAAATTCCATTCTTTAAGAAAAATTACATTTCATATCTAATCAAAATGCCAGCTGAGTGAAACAACAACAGCAACAATGACAACAAATCAAATACATGAAAACGGGTATAAATATTTAGAAAAGTGCTAAGATTAATCAAACAATAAATCATCATCGAAAGTGCAAAAACAACAACAGCGACAACAAAACCAAACAATCCTTAAATAAATAAATTCGATGGCATGGAATTACAGCAGCAACAAAATCCAACAACAACAACGACAACACCATTAGAATCACCACCACAAAACTGGGTAAACAAAACGCAACAAAAAGTGGCAAAATAAATCAAACAAAATCATGACACCCCATCATTATTAGAAGCAACAACAACAAAAAGAACAACAGTAACAGTGGCAACTGCAAAAGCACGTCAACGGCATCACACAGTAACAGAATTACAAATGATAACCAACCAATAATTTTCAATTCGTTTCAATTCGACATCGATACCAAATTATATTTGAAAATCCAAATAAACACAAACAAATCGATCCGCCGCTAAGCAGTATTAACAAAGTAAGTAAGCAAAAAGTAAATAAATAAAATTGAAATTAAGGGTGTAGCGCTCGCATAATTAAAGAAATGTTAAACATTATTTATATTATATTTCAAATAGAGATTATATTTTATATTATACATTACATATATTTTATATATTGAGATTGACAAGATGATAATTTGTACCATAATTCATTCTTAGAACTAATTGCCTATGGAAGGCATAATTTATGTACCTAAACTCACACATTTCTTTTAAAAGCCTTTACACCCTCAGTCGTTTTCTTGACCGATATATAACCATTCATAGACGTATTTTTGTATGAAATAACCATGATATGTTAAGGCGGATATACCTTAAAATAAATAATTAATATTCGGTAAAAAGTCACAATCTATTGGTAGAAAAGGTATCTTAATTACGTCAGCCACTTGATGTATTTTTTAGACATGAAGTCCTAAAAAATCCAAATAAATTCTAGTTATCGCATAAATGTTCTGAACAAACCAAATATTTTCCATGTAGTCCTTGAAACAATGTCACGATTATGGGAGGTCCTTAATTGTTTTTTGTAGAGACCGCGATTTTTGCCCAGCAATACCTTGATAAAATACTGTAAAAAATGTACACGTTTTTGAAAAATTGTTTTTTAAAGTCCTGGATCATTGGGCTGTACATTTCTGACAAATGTTAAAAAAAATGTTTCTTGCCCTGTCAGTCATTGAAAAAAGCATGTGCACCAAAAATTATTTCTGAAGTCCACGATTCTTTGCAAAAATGTTTTCAAATTTCTTGCCAAATCCACGACTTTTAGTTTGGAACCAGAACCAACTAATATATATTGAGGCATATGCAACTCCGAATCGATTTCCACCAAATACTACGGAGGGAGGAATGCGAAAAAATCCATCCAATTTGGGATGTTATTAACCACTTGTGGCACAATAAACGTGAATTCGGATAGAGATATATATGGGAGCTATACCCAAATTTGAACCAACCTCGAAATTTGAAATTTGACAGAGATGTTTCTGATGAGTATGAAATATTTGGTACCAAATATCATTGTTGTGAGGTGTACATTACGAATGGGAGTGACGTAAACACTAAATCGCATGAAACATATATATATGAGAGCTAAAACCGATTTTCAATTTTAATTGCATGCTTCTTAACTGAATCTAGTCAGATATGCCAAAACGAATATTTCTCATGTGACGCACAATAAAACTGAAATCGGACGAAGATATGCTATCTCACCCTGCAAAAAACTGCAACAAAGTCAGACATAAAACATAATTTTGACATTTTTTTAAAATTTTATTGAATGAAAGCAAAGAATGTCGGAAATAGCGTCCTGTTAGAATGTCCAAGGTCTGCGGCGTGTTCTAGGCTTTAAGGTAATATTCGGCATTTATTCTGATGGCACGGTCGATTAATACGTGTGGAGAACGACCATCGGCTGTTATGGCGGCCCACACCATCTCCATGGCCGCCGCTTGAGTTCTGGTGGCCAACCGAAGGTGCACATTTTCAGCTGACCCCTCTACAATCTGCTGGGTATCGAATGTTTTCTCATCTGAGAAAACGAAATTCGGCAGTTCACCACTTTCGACTAAGCGAAACAACTCTTTAGCTCTTTTGAGTCTATTTTCTTTCGGTTGTGGTGTAAGTTCTTGCACTTTTTGGAATTTCATTGGCTTTACCCCGAGCTCATTTTTTAATATTTGCCGAATGGAATATTGCGATATGTTCAGCCTACGACCCATTTTTCGTCCACTGCGAGGCTGGTTTCGATCAAGTCGCTTTTTTCTTTTCGAAACATTTCGACCAATTTTGGTACGAGACACAAAAGATTTATTCAGCCACTTGTGGTTTTTCAGCCAAATATAAAGAAATCACGCTTGATCACGCCTTAATTCCATCACGAATATTATTTTCTGTATAATTCTCACCAAAATGCTTTTGTACGCTTGTAAACAATATAATGAGCTGTCACTGGAATAATTTTAACAGCTGTCGGACTAGTGGCTTAGTCTGAAGTTGGTTGTTTTTTTTTCATCTCTCCCTGTATTTAAAACACATTTTTGTGCTGAGAAAATACATCACGTGAGTGTAAGAAAAATTCTCTTATTAAGCATCATTTCAAAAAGCACGAATTCCAAGGAAACTTTATCCGAAAATATGAGAAAAATGGAATAAGCGGTAATAGCGTCTGGACGAATGTAGTATATTCAGGTGCGGAAAGAGCAATAGTTGCTACAAAATAAATCATATTTTGTATTCTATCCAATTTAAATATTTTAGAAATATTCCTTATTAAGGATATCTTTCACAATAATACCTACGCAAAGAAGTAGACGAAATGAAACGGGTGGTCTGTTCCAGAACTGCAAGAATGTAAAAGTTTTTACTACGATAACCGATTTTCCGTTTATGATATCGGAGAAAATTGCAAAACTAGTAGATTCTTGCAGGTTCTGGCGTAGACCCGGGGATATCAAAATAATCTTCACTGTTCATTGTTCTTCCTTGCAAGCCTATTTATATGTTCATCTTTTGTCTTCGACAACGTTTTAGCCAAATACTACAAGGAAACATATGACATAGGACCTAAAATCAAAAATGTCATTCAGGTATCTAAATTTATTTAATTTGAATTGGGCAAATTTGAAATACAACAAAGCTTTCTTAACCTTTGTCTGAGACCTGAGGTTCATTATTACCCAAATAAAATTTGTTGCAAAGAAAATTATCTGATTTTCATTTTATTAAAAAATTAAAAATCTCTTAAACATTTTTAACCCACATATGCATACGGAATGAGGGTTAAGGGCATTTAAAATACATTTCACGCTACATAATTTCCACTTACTTTGTTTTGGGGGATACACTTCCTATATTATACTGTATCGCATGGTCCATTTTCCCCATTAATCGTGTGGCACCAATGCAAATATGTAGGAGAAAAGCATTTTTTTTTTTTTTTTTTTTTTTTGAAATTTAATACCTCGGCTGAGTGATTTAGTTGTATCTTGTTTTTTGTTAGTTTTGCGGTTGGCAAAACGTATTTAAATTACATTTAGTTAAACGCTTCTTAACGACAAGCAAAAACAGATGAATACCTACGTTTATTTGTAAGCATGTCCAAACAACGATGTATTCACTTGCTCGCTCGTCCGTCCGCTTGGCTGTCTGTCGGTTTGCCATCTAAAACCACTGAACCATTTGCATGTTCATTAGATTGCATTGCATCTCCACATACTTCGCTGTCGTCATTGTAATTAAACAGTTGAATAAAGTCAGTCCTGAGCCAAAATTGTTTTTTTTTCTTCCTTTTGTATTTTTTTTCTGTAGAAAAAAAAAAATATCCACCACAGCGGGCTTTCTACTCCCGCAAGCCGCATCATTATATATATATAGATATATATCTAGAACAACAACCACAACAATGTGAATGAAACAAAAGTAAATAAATGTATGTGTGTGTGTGTGTATGTAAATGTAGATGTATGGGTGTGGGTGCACTTTAAAAGAAAACTGTTTTACGACACAAACACATTTTCTCCACTAAAACCACAACGTTTTCGTTAAGGGCCAGAACTGGCAACAACAACAACAACCACACTGACGATGACAAACCGCATTTACAGTCAGGTTCCACCAACGTCAAGTTCCCGCAGCCATGACAAAGGCTCGAAGAAAAAGAAAACCTGCAAATGGGAAAATATAGAAAAAAACGAGAGACTTGCTTTTCTTTTTCTTTTAGAGGCGGGCAAGCATTGGTGCAAATAGTGCTGTCAGGTATTTTGTTTGTTTACATTACCAGCTGTCGTGACGCATGCAGTGGAGGGGTGTGGGAGGGGTCACATGCAGTTTTAAAGATACTTTGAGCAGATACGTGGGAGAGAGTTTTATTCTTTGTTTTTACTTTGCGCTCCTTGTCATCCAAAGGAACTATACCTCTTTGACTTGATTTCCTTTAATGCACTACTTCTTCATGTGATGCCGAATCCCCGAAACTGTTTCATTAACAAAAGTACCGGGAGGTATTTTTTTTTCTTTTTTTTTTTTTGGCGAGAATAATTATTTGTTGTTGTGATGAATTCTGCACGCTAAAATAACTTTTCTTTTAAAAAAGATTTCACACATTCTGCCGTGAAAAGACAATTTTGTGGTAAAAATAGTTTGGAAGTATATGAGATGAGGGTATAAAAGGATGGGCTTAGTAATCTAAAATTTAGTATGAGGGTTATTCCTTGTGAGCAGGTTCAATATAAAAATGGTATTTTGGACATAACTTGGACTGTTCCTTGTAAGATTCTGCCTTCTGGAAACACAAACTGCCGGTTAACAGAACATTCGGTTAAAGAATTTTACTAAAACCCCAAAAAATTAACAGGTTGACATCAGCTAATGTATACCCTCAGTCAATGTTCGATTATTTAAATATATTTTATATATTTTAACTTTTGTTATGATTTTTTCAAATGTATGTTCCTCTATGGAGTAGGTTCCATCAGACATAAGTAAATATCTCATAAATAATGCGACTTACCAGGTTTGGACTATATTGGTTACTTCCTTCACTAGGTATGAGGCATGGGATAATTTTTAGAAAATGTGTGAGGTACCAGATACAGTCGACGATAAAAATATTTGTATGGGAAAATTACAAGAAAATCGAACTTTTATATCAAATTTTATGCGAAATCATAAATTCCATATCCAATTTCAGCAAAACCCTGGGTTGAGAGACTAACTTGTTTCGCAAGTATCGAAAATTGTGACCCTTGTGGTTCAATACCAGAAGGAGTTCGCAGATACATACTATCTTAACAACAGATCTCGTGTTGCTTGTTTTTCCAAAATCTTGAACCCTATGTGGGAGAGGTACAAGAAAAAAATGGTCCGACCTCTACCATCTTTATAACAGATCATGTGTTGATGGAAATATTGAGATATTCCAAGTCTGAATGGAGTTGGATTTTAATGTCCCTTTATATGAATTTTATGG